CTTAGAATATTTAATCCATGATGGTTTACTTTCCAAAATTGCAGAATTACAGAATGTGTATCAGATTACTAATTCATGTTTTAATTTACCATTAGTTGCCTGGAAAATATTAATAATCTAAATAGACAAATGCAGGCCCAAGAACTCAGTGTACGTGTGTAACTGATAAATACACGTTAAATATTTAATTTAAGATATATTTAGCATATATGATTGTACATCTAGCATTTTAAAAATTGGGTCCTTGGATAGGATAGACTTGTTTCAGTCTTGAAATTGTTGAAAGCATGAAAACAAATTAAGGTAAAAGATTGACAGCTACATTTACATAGTAGGTAAACTAAACCTAGTTAGCCAAGATAACTTACATATCTTGGCATTGTGTCATGGAACATTTGTGGTGTCACTGTGGCAAAGAGCTCAAAATAGAGAGAGAAAGGAAACAGACAGCCAAAAAATTCCTTAATGAAGCTATTCAGGAGAGCACTATATTTCCCATAAAAGCTGAGCTCTTTTCCATAGGTATTCTGTTCTGAAATATGTTGTTTTGCAAGGATCTATTTAAGCCAAGCTACTGAGTTCTCACTGTGGATTTTACAAGGGAGTGAAGATGTGAAGAAAGTAAACTGCTAGAATTTTGTTTGTAGACTTTTAGAATAGGATCTCATCTTCCTAAATCCTATATAAACAAGGGGGTCAGGTGACATTTACATTTTGCAAATTAGGCCAGCCCAGCTATTTCCTAGGGTTCCTTTAAATAATGTCTCCTAATGGAAAGCTCCCCAGGTAAACTCCCTATGCTTTAGCTGCCTGTGTATGTACAGAAATGCCTGTTTAAAGAAGAGATGTCATTTCTGTCACTGAGAGGTCTAGGCAGTCAGTTCTAGGCTTCTAGGAGAGGTGCAGAGTTCCTGCTTTTAAGGCTGATTTTGATTTTGGGTTTTTTTTGTTTTGGTTTGGTTTTTTGTTTTGTTTTGTGTTTTTTTGTTTTGTTTTTTTTTTCCACCAAGCACAATGTAGAGTAAAATGTGTTCATAGGAGCAGGGTCTGGAACATCTGTGCTGGTGCCTTTGATCTGTCTGCAGTGTCCCTTGGGCTAGCTCATCTGCTTTATTTTAGACTCTGTGGTCTTGCAGACCTTTTGTGGCTCCTTTTTAAAAGGAGTAGCAGATATTATTAATTAGGATGTATCTCTATCTGGTGATCAGGGAACTGTTTGGAAATAGAAGTTTTGTCTTTCTGACTCTAAGGAGAACTTGGGTCTTCTTACTCTCTATTTCAAGCAGCAATGCAAAAAAGAGAGAGAGATCACTACTACATGCCAATCTTCAGAAGTGAAAAAGGCAGACGGAACCCTGAGTAAATGTAAACACCTGTTTTAAGTGGTTTGCATGGCTGCCTGGAGCTACTAGTAGAGTATATGGTGAAGGGTACATAAACTGGACTTACTATCCTCTTCAGGTTTTGAAACAATACCTTTTCTCTAGTCATCATGAAGGGAATTTAAGAGCAAGTTTCATATAACCTGCTCTTTGGAGCAAGACACCTAGCATTTTAGTAAAGTCGTACCCAGATCAGGCACACTGGATTGCAGCCTTTGCTAAATGAAGCAATCCACAGGGCTGGACAATTAGCTCTGCTTGCAGTATACTCCTGGGTTTGCTGGTGATGAACTATACATATGCTTGATGTTTAACAGACCTTGCTTCGTATTAAATCTGAGACATATGGCAGCCATTACTGAAAGAAAACAATGCATTTTTTCACCATCAGCAACTTGGATGCTGAAACAGAACAACAGCTCTTACAGCACTCCCAGTTGTCCATATCTCCTCCCAATGGGTTTCTCTAGTCTGTCTTTTTAACCCTTCTAATCTTTCTCAAGCTTGTGGGCTGTTGAAGTCTCAAGCATACACATCACTCGGCTCAAGAAGATTTTACCACCCTCTGTGGTTATTCGTGTTCCTCACTTTTTGATATTTTTTTTTAGTACAGATTCTCTTATTATATTGATCAATAATCATTGCATTATGAAACAAATTATTACATGAGGAAACATATGGAGCAAAAATCCTGTAATAGCTTGAGACATCTTCCTCTAACTAGAATACTCCCAACAATGTATTTTAAAAGATCTCCAAAGTTCAGAATGGGCATTTACAGTATTTTTGCTATAACAATATTTCTTCTTCTTTTAGTGTCATGCAAATACCTTGCATACTCTAACCATTTTGGGAGATTGCTCATGATCTCACAAGCAGTTTGTGTTTCATTGATATTTGCCTTTGATTGTTCACCTTCACAAGTTAAAAATCACCTTATTAACACAAAATTCTTGGCCCCTTCTTACTGAAAATAAGGCTCTGGAAAATGTCTCAGGTTGGATACTCAAAACAAAAAGTCTCCCAAACCATTAGTAATTTTTAAAAATCTTGGCCATGGTCTTTTATTAGCCTGTAAAACTTTATCACCATATATTTCACCCTTTAAATAATAAATAGTAACACCAGATGATGGAGGACTGAACAAACCAGATGCATGATGGAGAATATGTGTGTAATCTTGAAGGTTTCATGAAAAGCAGGCCTTTCCACAAAGTCTGCTTGGGCACCCAAGCAATCACTTGTCCCTGCAAAGACTTGACCCTTTCCAAAATTTTTAAGCACACAAGAGAATACATATTATAGCCATCACACCCTTTCTTATTTTGAGGATATTTCTTGTCATTTTTTTTGCTGCTCTTTGTTTGCATCAGAAAAAATGAAAATTTGTGTTAATGAGAAAGTCTTAGCAATTTTTTTTTTTGTTTTCTTCTCCTAGTGAAGAACTGCTTCTTTGAATGGGATGGTAGCATATGTGTTTGATAAGGATCAAATACTTAGCCTCCAAATCCACAAAGGGCAGACTGTGTCATGCCTCTCCCTTGCTGAACAGTAGTTCATACAAATAGTCCCACTGCCTGTCAGAAGGTAACCAACAAGTCTCTCTGCCAGTGACTTCTGTGATAACATAATGAAATTGTGCTATCTGCACATGATTAGCAGGTTAAAGGGTAAATTCAGACCCCCATGAAGAATCAGATAAATCAATCTTTCTTTTTTTGTTAAATGTGCAACATCTGGCAACTTGCATTTAAATGTGTCACAACAGATGTCTGCCACCAGGACTCACTATCTTAAACCCTCCAGTATAACATTTTTGAAGGTCTCAGCTCATTCTTTAATGGTGAACAGACCTCAGTGCTTCCATATGCTCTCTTTATACTCTCTGAAGATTTAGCACAAACGCAAACCAGTTATATATTGCACTGCCTGACTTTTACAAGAATCACAGATGTACTTTTCTTGATGAAGCCTCCTTAACTCACTCACAACTGATCACACAACTATTTTAACTTTCATACAGTGGTGTCTCTGCCTCTGCCTCTGCCTCTCCCCACCTCTCTTCCATGGACTCCAGCTGATGAGCCTCCTCACCATTAGTGTGTTGTACCAAATCTCCTGCAGGAGGTCAAAGGAAACATTTTAAGGCCTAGGTGTTTAAAGTGACACTCATAATGAAAAGGCTAATACATTACGTCTAATTTTTGTGCTTATAATTAGTACACCTACCTAAAGCTAGAATCTTTCTTTTTAGGTATAGATGTAAATTAATTTGATCTAATTTAAACTTTTGAAACATTCAGCTTATTATGCATGAAGGAATCAATTTTATACCTCACTTTTCAGAAAGTCCTAATATACTCTAATAGATATTGAAGGATCTGGAGTTCTAACAGAGTGCAACACTTAAGCAACACTTTTTATTTTCAAATTCATACTTAAGCCATGTAAAAATTACTGGTAATAAGGATGTACTTTTTCCTAAACAAAAAACAAGGTAGCAAAACCATATAATTGTGAAAATTTATTATGTGTTTAACATTAGACTTGCTGAAATAAGTGGAAGCTGTCCATACACTTAAAGCTCACTTTCCTTTTTTTATTTACTTATCTTTTTGTCTACTTTACTTCTAAACCTCTTTTGAGACATTCTCAGTTCAGGAAGCAAAGTATTAAACATTATGAAATAAGTTGTTAGAGGTTCTACCATTAAAATAAATGAGATAAAATTAAATTAAAATAATTATATAAATAAGTTTTAAAGCTAGTATAAAGTCATAAAAGGTACCAGGATATATTTTATGTTTTCAATATTTTTATTAGCTTTTTCCTTAAAATACTTATGCAATTGTTCTGGGTTTGAATGTGGCTAGTTTTCCTGACACTAAGTTGTTACTTTAAGTTTGGAATGAAAAAGAAAACAAAAATCATCCAAAATACCTCGTGTGAGAAATATGTGTCTATGCCTTGGAAAGCAAGTTCGCTGGAAAGAGTTTACTTTAGATCAATGATAAAACAAGATAATTAATCAGTGTTTTGATAATTAAAAACAGACCTCACTGCAGGAGGCACTGGAGAGTATGAAAACTTTGTAGAAATATATGTAAACATGCCTCTGAATATAAAGTAAAAGGTATGGTTTAATCTTTAAAGAAATGAAAATATTTTATTAAAACATTCTTAGCAAATGTTTTTGCTATCTTCCTCTCTTAATCAAGAATCATGTATTTAAATGGCATGGCAGCATCTGCATTTGATAAAAATCAAATAAAATATTTCCGTAGAAACAGATGGCATTGTTTTTAATTCTTTGTGGCCAGTTCAGGTATTATGAGAATGAATTATGATGTAAGCAAGCTTTGCATGTAAAGTATCTTCTGACAAAAAAAAAATGAAGAAAGGTACATTTTATGTTACCTGCTTCATCTAGACCAGTTCCTCTCATCTACTAGAATGTAAAAATCAAATGCTTCCTGCTCTGTGACTGTTTCGTATTAAAGTCAGAACTTCCTGTCTTTTCTTGCCTGGGTGCTGAGGTGCCTTAGTTATTTCAGGGGTTAAAAGCTGTAGCCACTGATGCGTATATATGAGGCTGTATTCATAGAACACCGGCTTGTAGCCTGACTCAAGCTATTACAGTCTAACAGTGACCAATAGAAAGAGAAGAAGATCCAAGAAAGCTGAGGTAAGCCCAAACTCTGAAGCAATGTCAAATTATAAACAATAGTTAATAAGGTGTGCATAGTAATACATCTGGGAATACTAGCATGTACTTTAAGTTTTGTATGCTATTAAATCTTAGGAGGACAGGAAGCAAACACAGTGGTGAGTAGCCAAAGGCTGTGAATTTACAGTGATTTCTAACTGGCTTCAGATAAAACCAGGAACTTGACTAACAAGGTAAACAACTTTGTATTTCTTTTTAAGAATGTTATTAAGGTTATGAATATTTATACAGTGAGAAGGTGTCAATTCACTGTGTAAATTAGATATGTTATTCTTTAGAAATCTTTCATTTGTTCTTTTTTGGAATGCTTCCAGATAGCAATTTCTGAAGCTGGAAGATCTGCAGGATTCTGCACTTGTTTCTCCTAATAACAATGTTGAAAACTATTAAATTACTATATATCCTATGCAGCAACTTAGCTGAGCTCTTAATCTTACTGTTGCATTATAAGAAAATTTACTTTTTATTTACATACTATTTTTGCCAAAACTAACCTCTGAATTTTGACCAGAAATTTCAGCTATCAGTGTCTTGCCTCTGTATTGCAAAATGCTTCCTAATCTTCATCAGAAAACAAGCAACATAACAGAGTTTGTGAAGCACTCTTTTTGTGCTACACAAATATTTCCTTTTGGAGTAAATTATCTTTTATGGTTTTGTTCATTATTTAATGGTGGAAGAAGCTAAACAAAGCAGATAATTAAGTAGGTAAAATAGATACAAGATTAATGAGTTTTTATGATATAATTCGATTAGGACTTACTTTTAGATCAGGCATTTGTTTTGGCTGTTTGATTTAGAGAAGGAAATTCAAAACTCTGGATATGAGAGAGTGAATGAGGGAGGGGAATGGATTACTCAAACATATTCCCTCCAAGCTTTTTAAGAACATGCCCAACAAACAGCTGTTAAAACACTCTTTGATCTTTCACTTTTCTGTGATGAGAAAAGACCCTGGAAAATCTGATCCAGATGCCATTATATCTTAAGAGAGAGAGAAAACAGAAAAGAGGGTATGAATAATTTTGAAAGGAGGAACATTGACTACAATAGTATTTATATCAACATGGTATTGATGGCTTTACTGAAGGTAGTAGATTATATAAAGTAGTTTATAGATATGTACAGAAAAACAAACAAATTTACAAGAAGCACTAATTTAATGTCTGAAAAAATGATCTAGGTTTTCAGGTTCTTTGAAATGAGACTTGCATGAACATCAGTTAAACTGGTAGCCAATGTGGAGTCTAAGTTGAATCAGGAAAAAGTCCTCCATTGTACAGCACTGAATAGCTTATACCTCTTATATTACTGTTCAGTTTTTCCTTAACATGTCATAGGTAATACCACCAAGGACAGAATTTGGCTGTTTATAAAGGAAATATTATTTTCTATGTAATGTTGTTTTGTTAATCTAGTATGATGTTACAGAGTTCTGTTGAGAGGCAGCTAATTGTTTTTCTCTCCTTCCAAGGAAAACAATGACTCTAAAAGTCTGTACAAGCCTTTTGCTCTTATTCTTGATCAATTCTGTGTCAACTCGAACTGTGAGACAAGTTTATGATGAGCTGGATCCTGAGCATTGGTCTCACTACACTTTTGAGTGTCCACGAGAGTGCTTTTGTCCTCCTAGTTTCCCCAATGCATTATACTGTGATAACAAAGGACTTAAAGAAATACCTGCAATCCCAGCAAGAATTTGGTACCTCTATCTTCAAAACAATCTAATTGAAACAGTTTCAGAGAAGCCTTTTGAGAATGCCACTCATCTGAGATGGATAAATCTGAACAAGAATAAGATCACCAACAGTGGAATTGAAAGTGGTGTGCTGAGCAAGCTGAAAAGGCTGCTTTATTTGTTCCTTGAAGATAATGAATTGGAAGAGGTGCCTGCCCCATTACCAGTGGGTCTGGAACAGCTAAGACTGGCTAGAAACAAAATCTCCAGAATCCCAGAAGGAGTCTTTAGCAACTTGGAAAACCTTACTATGTTAGATCTGCACCAGAACAGTTTGTTGGACAGCGCTCTTCAAAGTGACACCTTCCAAGGACTCAACAGTCTTATGCAACTCAACATAGCAAAAAATTCACTCAAAAAAATGCCTTTAAGCATTCCAGCTAACACACTGCAACTGTTTTTGGACAACAACTCAATTGAAGTGATACCAGAAAACTACTTCAGTGCAATACCCAAAGTGACTTTCCTTAGGCTGAACTACAATAAATTATCTGATGACGGTATTCCCCCAAATGGGTTTAATGTTTCATCTATTCTAGATCTACAGCTGTCTCACAACCAGCTCACTAAAATTCCACCAATCAATGCTCACCTTGAGCACCTTCACCTTGATCACAACAGAATCAAAAGTAAGTGTGTATTGTCGGTGTGGCATCCTACTAAGGCAAAATTATTTTAAAATGTCTACTTAATTACAAAAAATTCTCTTTGAAATAAAGAGATTAAAAATCTTCTGTGGATTATAGGGAGATGAGCAAGAGAACCTCCCAAAGACCAGTTTTCAAGTCAGGTCTAAAATGTGACAAACAAATATGTGAGCGGAAGTAATACCACAAGTGAAAAATGTTCATATGCATGGAGAAAAAAATACCACTTTGCAAGCAGATCAGAAATATGAGTGGATTAAGAAGAATTTCTGTATTCGTATTTTGCTATATGCATGCCAGTAATCATTTTGTGGGAACAAATTAAGTTTCCCACAGAAAGGCTACGAGTAAATAAGCAAAAAACAACAATAAAAATGTGGGTGTAACAAGTTAGGATATTCAATCCACATCTGTATGACTGTTAGAGCACCTTAGGGACTTCACTAAGCTAACAAAATTGCTGTGTGCTCAGTTCTTCTGAGTATCTCTCTGTTCACCTACATTATATAGTAGGAACTTAAGGTGAAGCACCCTTAAAACAGTATAAAATATTGGCTGTAGTGAACACAATCTATTTCAAATATGACTAATTATAATGTGGGTATTGACTATTTCAAGCTTGAGTATCCTCCACATCTTTTGTTTACTGTGCACAAAATGCTGACACTTGGGTTTAGTCTTATGAAAAATCTTTTAACTTACTTTACAGAAGCTTTGTCCTACTAAGGATCATCCTCTCAAATGTCTTCTAACATTTTCCACCTTGTATAAATAAGACAAGGTTTTGTAACCAAGGCAACAGAAGCCTGTTGTCATGTCATAGTTGAACCTCTAACACTGTTTCTAGATTCATCCAGGTACAGTAGGAATGCGGTGGCTAGGGACACTGTAGACCTTAAAATCTTTTGCTTCATACCAAAAGCCAAAATCAAAGTGATAGTTTTCAATTTATCACTGCACAGAAGTTAACCAAGTCTCTATATTTGTCTTCCTGTCATGGTGATTTAATTGAATAAATGGTTCCTTACTCCTGTTTTGTGTCACTGTGGTTCACAAATGTACTAAAAATAGTGATTTGGCTTCTGTATGAAACAAGGACATATCAAATGAAGATACCTTGTAATAATTCAGATTAATTAACTGCATTTTTCAAAACAAATGTACAAAACCTTGTAAAGAAAAAGCAATTTTGTAAAACTGACACCTATTTAAGCGTCCTGTGAAATGTCTAGCAGTTAATTAGAGGTCAGGCTTATAACATATGTTGGTCCTGGACATGTTTCATTGCCCATTGGTTACAAAGGGATTCATTTTAATTGCTTCACTGTAGGGCCTCAGGTGCAGACTTTGTCTCCTGTCACTTTAAGTGGACAGCAATTTGAAATCAGTGGAATGTAACCTGTCCAGTTTAAGAAGTGTTTTGTATCTAGTTAGTATTTAAAGAGCTGCCAAATTATCTTCCTTTCCTAAATAAGTTTAAAAAAAGGTTAAAACCATGAAAATCAATCTGCATAGTATGTGCAAACTCAAATGTCATTTTCCAATGACACATGGGTACCCATGAGCCTAAATTGTAATCGTTTTCCATAAGATATACCTGCACAACTGCCAGTTGCTGCTTTATTTTGTCTTGGTGGTTCATAGTTACATTGCTGGCATTGCAAAAGCTCAGACAACAAAATTTATTTTTAAACACTATTTACCTACTTTTTATTGTATATTATTGCATAACATCAGTTCTTCTTATAAGTCCAAGGCCTTATTTCTCTAGACACCATTTATGAAGATATAAGGCAATATCCTGAAGCTAGGTGAAGTCAGTTATATCCTCATTATTGGTCTCAGTGGAACCAGAATATCACTTGTGGTCCCTTCCACAAGGATCTTGGACAGAGAAAAAAGAAGTACTTGAAATATGAAAGCAAAATCAACATAAACTCAAAACTAATTATGGCTGCAACAGATACACATCACACTTGTTCTGTGGCATTTTAAAACACATATGTTTACGTATTTCTTTATGAGATACATATGAGACTCTAGGGAGATGTCAAATAATGGAAAAGGGAGTGTTACAGGAAACAAAAAGAAGAGAAGGAATGAAACAATGATGTGAATGAGTGAGCAAGGGTAAGAAGGTGGTATTACAGCGCTGTCAAAGGAGCGGTAAAATGGAGAGAACAGTAACTTCCCCTAGAGCAACACTAGGAGATTGGGATAACTCCTCTTAGCTATTATTATTCCATGTGTATAGAAAGGGAAAAGTCCTTGGGCCAGGTAGCAATGCCAGTCTATCAAAAACCATTATAGAACATTTGGAAAGAAATGGTTGAAGTTACAGATCCTGACTTACTGTCAGACCCCTGCACTATAGCTAGTACTGGCTTCTTTGCTGGAAGAGCCCAGAAAGGTACAGATTTCCAGACTGATCCACGGCTGCTACAGTTAAATATTATGTGAAAAAGAGAAAGGGAGTCCAACTATTAGAGTTGGACTACAATGAGTGCAGATAAAGGTTACAAGACTAGAAGAGAAATACCCTCACACTCATTTATGTTAAAATACATCTATCTTCTAGATCAACTTACTTTCTGAATGTTTTACTGGAAAAGAAACAGGATCTTCTGCAGTTCTTCAGCAGACATACAGGATTAGCCATTAGTGAGAACCTTTTCTGTAATTTTGCCCTACAGCAGCTCTAGAGTCTCATTTTAAAATATTACACCACTTAACAATACTGTTGACAACAGGTGGAGTTCATTTAATTTGAATTAACCATCCTACATTTTTGTGTCTAGTTTGAGTTAGTCACACAGACTACCAATTCACTTAATGGAAAGAGATACACAACTGCAGAGGTAAAATCATCCCATCTTAAGGAACATGAATCACCTTTTGGAAGTGTTCATCCTAGAGTTTATAAACAGGGTCTAAATTATTTACTTAGTCTGATACTTACCCTCTACAGGGATCAGTTTGGGTAGGGTGAATTGTACCCATGTAGATGGATTGCCCTGTCCCTCCTGCTTAAGCAAAATTCTGAAATATACCCATGAACAGAATTGCAAGAGAAGAGAGGAGAGAGAGGCTTTTATTCCTCTGACAGTTTACTGTTCATGGGAACAGAACGATGAAAAACCAAACCACTTCATACCACACATACTCAGGAAATAACTTCTTCATAGGTGGCCTGTGATTAGAAAACTGCTGCTTCACTTTAAGGTCGGAGTAATTAGCCCAGTAGAAACCAGTGCAGTGGGATAGTTTCTAGGTCAGAGCATATAGAGATTTAGAATACACTTAAAGCCATCTTGTCTCCTAAGCACAATAGTGCTGAGTTGAAAAGGCAGATACTTTCTGCTACACAGTTTTGTTTCACTTCTAAAACTTTTAATAACTGCTTTCTTAATGAAACCCCACTCTCCAGCTTCCTGCTTCATAGCTTCACACATAAAAATAAGTTGTATCTTGTTTCTTCCAAGAATATCAAATGCTTTTCAAACATTAATCATATTTCACAACACAGACAAAGACCTTTTGATGTCATGGATATGATAAAAGTTTTAGGCCTTGGCCAACTGGATGTATTTATCTAGTTCCCACGACAAAGATAAAGCCCATTTCCAAGATGTTGCAAACATCTGGGCAGTTTTTCAAAATACAGTGGGTGTTTTTTGGTTTGTGGGGTTTTTTTGTTAAAAAAAAAAAAAAAACATGGGATTTTTTTCATCATAACATTTAAGCAATTTTGGGTATTGCAATCAGAAGGCATCTGCATATTACCATTGCTAAATTTAAGGGAAGAAAAAAATAGTAGAAAGCTTTTCTTTTCCTATTTCTGGGTTGCTAAAAAACTTGTGCTCAAAAAAAATATTTTACACACACATTCTCCATTCAGCCAATTTTTGCAGGGTGTTTGGGGCCAACAAGATCCTCAAGTAGTCAGACCAATCACTAAATACTATAATTTGTCCACAGGAATTTGACATCTTTGATAAACAAACACCACTTCAGTGTTTCTAGAATAATGCCATATTGAGCCTGAAATAGGACAGCAGCAGCCTCACTATTCAACAACTGAAGACAAAATATGAAAAGCATTTTAGCCAAGTGACAATGCAGAGTTAATTTATGGGAGACAATATAAAGAACCTGATATACTCAACTCTTATGAAAGTGGGGAATGATTTCAGCTGTAATTTCAAATTTTATCTGTACTGAAACTAACTCTGTGTGACTTATAAAGAATTTTAAGAACTTGTTGGCTTTCCAATTAAGAATAAAAATATCCTCTTGTACAATTTATATTCTTGCAATTAAAACCAACTGTACTGAGAATTTGAGAGAACAGGAAAGTACAGATGTTAGATGTTACAGACATGCAAAAATCTCCTCTGATTCAATACTGTTATCATTTTGAATGCAAGATCTTAATTGGGTAATATTATCAGCTAAAATTAATATACTAGCATTACAGTAAGATGATTAAATCCCTCAGCATTAACCTTGTTCTACTCTCTCTGAAGGCAGAAAGCTATTTCTCAATTAATAGTTATCCAGTAGTTGTCTAAATTAGTTTCCTTTCTGTCCAAAGTAAAATTATGTGTCTTGTGGTCTTTATTCATAACAGTAGTACATTAAATATATGATTATCTGATTTAGATTACATTATGCTAAGATGCTTTTTTGCTTGATCAAAAAAGTAGTTTATTGTTAGTTCAACATTTTCCAACTCTGATGGGAGCAAGTGTCTCCTATATAAATATCAGTGGAAGCCTGTTTTATTCTTTTTTTTCTAAATTAATTTTATCTTTATGAACGTTTCCAATAGAAATTACCTAACATGCTGATCTACATTTTCAGATGTCAATGCTACTCAAATATGTCCAGTTTCAATTGCTGTAGCAGAAGACTATGGTTTTTACGGCAATACCCCTCGGCTCCGATACCTTCGCCTGGATGGAAATGAAATTCAACCTCCAATCCCATTGGACATCATGATATGTTTCCGACTACTTCAAGCTGTTGTCATATAAAGATATCACAGTGTTGCTCTTGTGCTGTGAGAGCGCTAAGATACAAGTTTTGCTGGAATGAAACTTGTTCTAACTCATAAATCAAGAAGTAACAGCTTTATTTTGACTTTAATTTTTTCTTTGCTTGCATTTTTTATACAGCTGAAAAGATTGTTCTTCTTTCAGAAGAGATTTTGGATGGATGTGAAACGTATGCTTAACACTTTACCTAAGAATGCCTAATGCAAATGTACTGAAAATAATCTTTGTAAGATCCCAAATATTCTTGAAACAAATTCTTGTCTACTCCATCTTTCTGGTCAAATGCTCCAATGTCTATCCTGTTAACATCATTGCTACAAACAAACTATATTTCCTTATTTTATTACATAGTAACTCACACAGTGAATTTGGGTGCACTTGGCTAAATATATGTGCTAGAATAATAATGAGTCGCATGACTACTATTTATCAGAACTGCCCCACTGCCTTTTTTAAGATAGTGTCTAATGGTGAACAACCACTTAACATGTAAATAGCTCATAAATTGCTATCATCCTTTCAAGACTGAATTTTCTAGAAAAAAAGCGGGATACAGGATACAGAAATTGTATCAGATTAAGCAAATACAATCAGCTCAGAGCAGTATTTAGCTAACTGGTGACTCAAATAACGTGCTCCTAATAACACCAGATCTTAGAGAAGTCCAGGTATTTAGAATACAGCACATTCACAATTCACTAACAAGGGAGATACCAGTGGGCATCTTTTTATGAAATCTACTTTTTTGGTTGGTTGGGTTTTTTTGTTTGCTTTTTGTTTGGTTTTGGTTTGTGGTTGTTTTTTTTTTTCCTATTTGTATAATACTGAGATTTCAATACACAACTTGAATACTAGAGTCAACTATTCACTGGGAGAGTATGACATTTTCATTTCTGATAGCCAACACAACAGACTATCCATCTGTCATATTATTTTAGTCTTCTTATATTTGTAGATAGAAGCAATTATTTGCTCTATGATGGCTTGCATCTCTTTCTAATATTTTAAGACTGGCCTCAGTAACAATCATTTAAAGACTATGCATGCAGTATAATTTTTTCTTTGAAGGTGAAGCATTTTCTTAAACATATATTTTTAAAAGGATTGGGAACTGTAATTTCTAATATTCAATCTTTTTTTATCTGAAAATCAGGCCTTATTCTGCTCCAGTGCACTTGTGAAAATAAAGCAGTATAGAAACCTAGTATAGAAAAAACCCATTCAGAAATCCTATCACAAAAAACTTTTAATTTTGTAGTTATTTTTATGTGATTGTTGAGAAACTCCAGCCCTTCCAGCAAAATATTTTCTGTACCTCTATATTTGTCCTATATGAGAAAATACAGATTTTAAAAGTCTCAACAATATGTATGCATGTTTACTTACGTTCCTCATTTAGTAATTTCATAGTAATTTATTTTTTGAAAAAAGTGATAATACAACTAATTAAATTATAACAATGATTATGTGCTTATACTTGGAAATTAATTTCTGCTTCAGACAAAAAAAACAAATATACTTACTCTACAGTGAATATTCACAGGCATATATGCTTACACTATTTACAGTTCTAACTGATCATATAGCAATGCATCTTGAAGTTCCAAACAAAAAATTATCACCTTTAGGTTCTATATAGGAAAGATGAACTCTTCCCCAAAGAGATGTCAAGTTTATGTATAACAAGTGATGATATGTAAATTCATAGAGGGATGCTGGAGTAACAAGGTAGTAAATTTTCTTGATAGGGGCATTATGTGATGAAATCAGGGCACATACTGTGATGAAATCACTTAACAGCTGTTTTCCACCAGCTGGACTGATATGAATGGATTTTTCCAATCCACTGTCGGGTGGAAAGCCTTAAGAATTAATTCATCAAAAATCAGTGCTATCTTATGGAACAGTCTTTGGACACATGCAGATTGATGCTTAAGATTTGTCCTTGTCAAATCTCCATTAATCTGAGTGAATAAAAAAATCAATGATACATCTTTGGACAAACTGTTACTGGGATAAAGAGTTGCTGCTGCCAAATGCTCTGTAGTCTACACCTTTGATGCAATTTATTGACTCCGCATTTGGGAACTGTTTAACAAAAATAAAATCGTAAGTAACCTCACTTAGACTAATTTGTCCCATCTTGATTCTCTCTCTCAGAACCAGCAGTATGAAGTAGAATGAAAAATAGTTATGTACTGCTGTGACCTTCACAAGATAAATCAGCTCTGGTTGGGGGTTGAGAAGCTTTACTGCATGCACGTCTCTATTTGCAACAGTCTTAATGTTCTTAAATATTTTGAGAAAGTTGTTGAAATTTCCCTCAGATTATAATAGCAGGCCTAAATTGCATTATTGTGTGGAACTAAACAATGAAGGCTTCCAGCTACTCCTCATACAATCAATTCCTTGTGCCAGGAGACTATAAAGGAAAATGTAAAACACAATGTCCTTTTCCCTATGAAGAGGAACCCTAAAATGATGTAAAAAGCATCACTGTGCTTGAAAGTCTGATGTCAAATTATTCCTAATCCAAGACTGATCTAAGAATCCTCACTGATATTTCCAGGTTCAGAAAATATTTTAGTGTCCTGCACTGCAAGGAGGGAGGAACAGACCTCTCAGCTGTCCTGTCTGAACCCACAGATGCCTTCAAAAAGCTGACTTTTGTTTTACTTAATTAATCGGAGCAAATCACAAACAGATTTGAATTAAATATCATGTACAGAAACAAAGATGTTTACAAGAAGTATGAGAAATTGAATACAAAGCAGGTCACATTAAGAACACTGCTGTTGTGGTCAATTGTTAATCAAACCACAAACACCGATTGCTTTGCCAGAAATGCGTATTACATATGAGTTCATTTATAAATTATGGTAGTTAACATAAATGTGCTGTCACCTCAGCCCAAGGAACAGATAGTTTCTTTGTAAAGAAAAGCATAAAAGCAAAGTGAGAGGCTCAAGAACTGAGAAGTACCCAGAAGTTTCTGACATGTCTGCCAGCTTGACTGGAGCATGCATGCTGGATCTATCAAAAGATGGTGTGTTTTTAATGCAGCTGTCTCTGCAGGAAGAAAAATCCTCTATAAATGCTGCCAACATAGTTGAAAATTCAGTCACATGCATGAATCTCACTGCTCCATACTCTGGCATTCTCTGCTTCTTTCTCAATATACTAAGCAGGTTGCTACCACTTCTTTCTTCAATATTTTTATTGAAAAACACAATAACAACAACCATCCTCAGAGATACCAGGTACCAGAACAGCTTGTATGACACTTGTATGAAGGAAGAAACACAAGCACTAAGATGTAAAAATTTGGAAGACAACTAGAAAACAAATTTGAAAGTTTGTAATTACAAACTCCAACATGTATCCTGTGTCACTGAAGGGATTTTCATTCACGGTTTCTGCACCCAAATGATTTCCAATGTTTGCCATAAAAACTTGTCATTTTTTCAGCTTAGAAAAACTACTTGCTGATATTATATTGGAGCTAATTTCGTTATCTATCTGGAATCAGATTACTGTAACACATAAACTGCTGTGTTTGTTGTTGAACAGATAATATCCCACCTCTGCCGTGTGTGGCAGGGAATCTTTGGCATTGTTCAACTGAGCAAGTAAACATCCTCCTCTTGACTGAAAGTCTCTTCCATAACTGCATTTTTCTCCCAGAATTGCTTACCCATTTAAACATAAAGGGTAGCTCTACAAGGCACCATACTGTCTTTGTAATGATACTCAGGAGTAGTACTAACTACTTCAGGTCAAGCTTATGAAGCAATATGCATCATTTGCATCAAGTTCTGCCATAGCTAATTTATGTTCTTCTCCATTAATAGAGGTAATATTGTTTCTGAATCCTGTGCTTCCTCTGTCAGTGTTACTTCAAACAAATATGTAGTGTAATGGATTTGAAACCTTTCCCAATCCATTTGTTTCTTACACTCCCTGCCCTGTTGTCCGTAGCCTGGATATTCTTACTACTTTTGCCTTGGTTTCTGTAGCATATTCATTTGACCAACTTGTTTGCCTATCAGCTTGATTCAGTTTTGCTTCTTCAGTGTTTTTTAGCTTAAGCATGTTTATACAGGCTGCACTAATGGTTGTTCTGATTTCATGTTCCCTGACAGTTCAGCTGCATCTGGGTTTCTCTAGGGGAAGCACCATCCTGACTGCTGCACACGTACCGCAGTGGAACAGCATGCCCCACTGCTCACAGCATTCACACCTCCTTCTATGCATGTGCACAAACCCAGGCTGATGCTGTCATGTAGACAGAGTATATCTGAAAATCTCTTTTCCAAAGTTTTCCTTCCCCACCCCCAAAAAGCTGTTCCTAGTTAGGGGCTGGGGTGATGAAAGTTACATATGGAATCAGCACCTCTCAGTGAAGCTAGGCTTTTTCAAGAAAGCATTTATTCATTAAAATGCTCTATCACAGTTTTTCCGATTTACTAGTAAATTAAAAAAAAATGCAAAGTTTCAGCCACAGGAAAGAAAAAATAAATTTAAATAGTGCTCATGCTTCCTGTTGCTAAATATTTATGTACCATGATATATCCTTCTCTAGGCAATGAAACCCTGGAATTTGTATCAAATCATACTCCTACTACTAGGAAACCTATTTCAAAGAGGGTAATCTCCTTGTGATGCTCTGCTTTGTTTCAGGACTTGAAATAATCCACTGATTCTCTACCCTGGCAGTGAGGATAGGGTATTATAGGATCTAGCTTCAAATCCTTGTCTGAATCAGCAGCAGAGTCAATTGGAGTGTAGATTTTTTTTTTTTTTTTTTTTTTTTTCGGTGCTGTTTAGAGCACCAGACTAAAGATTCACTCTGTTTTGTGAATCCTGAAATTTGTTTCTTTTAATGACTGGAACTGCTTCAAACAAAAAAGACTCGTAGCAACCCTTCCCAAAACTGCTTAGCAGCAGAATAGGCAAGAGCTACTCTCCTAAAGTGACACTTAAAATAGCTTCTCTCAGAAAGCTGCCAGGGCCCCCAAATTCCCTGCCTCTGAATTACTGGCCAACTGGAGAAGTGAAAGATATTTGTGCAGAATTTCTCTGAAGGTCATGGTATCTTAGATCTTTTAAAAAGCTAGTATTTATGTGCTTGTTTTGGTTTGATGTAAGTTCTTTAACATTCATTTAAAATAAAACCTAAAAACATGGTGTGAGGTTTTTCCTCCATTTCAATAAGAAAATAAGATGAAAATATTTAATTCTTAGTCAAATAAATATAAATATTTTTATATTGGTCTGAACATCAAACAAACAAACAAACAAACAAACAGAAAAGCCAATTTTCTGTTCTCCAGACAAGATTTCTGTGCTTTCCTTTTTTTCTCCATTTTTCTTTTTTTACATTAGGATTCTGTCTGAAATCACGTAACAAACTTATCAGTTATTGAAGAACACTGAGAATGATTTCAGCTGCAATATAATGCACACTTTTTATTACCCTTGAAGTCTGCACAGGCCCCCTTTTTTGGGCTGTTTCAACTGCAAT